GTGCTGTGCTCAGAATTTCTGTACATAAAGAGAAATTTTGTCAAGGCGGTATTGTCGTCTTCCTTTTCAATTAAAGCCTTTTTCAACACTCTTTTTATGGTTTTTACGGCGTTTTCCGCTGCACCATTGCTAGATGGATGATACGGAGCCACCGGTAAATGTTTTATACCGTTTTTACTTAAATATGTTCTAAATTCGACCGACGAGAAAGGTGGTCCGTTATCAGTTACTACCTTTTTTGCTAAGCCAAATCGAGCAAATAATCGTCTGAGACAAGCGATTACTGCCGTGGCTGATGTACCGCTCAATTTTTCCACCTCGATCCATTTTGAATGAGCGTCCACTATAATTAAGTAATATTTGTTATTAAACGGTCCCAAGAAATCAAGATTAAGGCGCGCCCACGGCTCTTCCGGCCATGGCCACGAGTGCAGCGGCACCGATGGTGGTGCAGCGCGCTGAGATCGACAGGCCTGGCACTGAGCATATACATGTTTAGTAACCCCAAACATTATAGCCAAAGCTTCTTTGTCCAGCTGAGAATAGTTAAGTTCGGCTGGCGCGAGAGTCCGTGAGGCACAGCTGACGAGCCGCTCAGTGCCGTCGATGTGCTTCTGAGTGAGGACGGCGCCCAGTCCGTACTGGCTGCTGTCAACGGAAAGCACTAATGGCGAATTTGGGTTATAATGTGCCAGTACCGGAGAGCTGCTTAACACTTTTTTAATTCGTATAAATGCTTGATGACATTTATCTGTCCAACACCATTCTACATTTTTTTTTAACAAATTATACAAAGGTTTCAAAATATCACTCATATTAACAATGAAGTTCGAATAAAAATTAACAAGACCCATAAAACTTCTCAATTGAGTTAAATTCGTAGGTGCGGGGGCGGCCACTATAGCATCAACTTTCTTTTCGTCAGTGTGTAAACCCTGTTTGTCTATTTTATAACCTAAATACGTAACAGAACTTTGAAAGAATTTACATTTGTCATAATTAATTCTTAATCCGTTTTGAGTCTCCTCAACACTGCTCGTAGATTTGATAAATGTTCAAATCTGTTTTTTCCGGTTACGCATATATCGTCCGCAAAAATAACGGTTGACGGCAGACCACTTAGAATCTCTTCCATAATCTTCTGAAAGTTTTCCGGAATGCATTTAATTCCAAACGGAACGCGCTTATAAACAAAAGTACCAATGTGTGTCGTGATCGCTGTCATCGGCTGGGATTCTTCGTCTAAGAGGCATTGCTGGAATGCATTAGATAAATCCAATTTTGTGTAATATTCACCACCACCTAAAGTGGCAAACAAATCTTTAATGTGCGGCAAAGGATAGTGATAATCCTTCAGACGTGGGTTTATTGTGATTTTATAGTCGCCGC